AACGAATCGATATGTCATCTTATTAATTACCTCATTAACAAATTCCCCAATTGAGAATTTCACGAAGAGAATTTTGCGCATTTCCATCATTCCAGAAATGATTCTCGTCATCATGCTTACAGTATGCTCCTTCCACATGAAAACCTTTTGGACATTGATGAACTGAAATAATTTTATTTGATATATTTGATAGTAGAAGTATTATTAAGGAATCTTAATTATATCTATTTAAATAATCTCGATCTACTTCCATTAATTTACCTTTTAAATTTTAATCTAATTAACTAATTTCATTAATCTAATTAATTTATTTTCACTTCTTAAATAAATCCTATATTATTTAAGCATAACATAATTAAATTTAATTAATATTTTATTATTATTTCATAAAAATTATATTTCACAAAATAATAAATAAATAACTCACAGCATCGTCCATAAAGTAATTTGCCATTCAAGCAATGACATTGTGATATGCCTTTATCACTATTTGTTGAACAATAAGTATTACTACATCTTGCAGAACATTCCTCATCATTTATACAACCATATTCACCTGGCCATAATTTCCTAAATTATTGAAATCATTTACCATTTAGAAATAAAAAGTATTTAAAATCATAATTTAATCTATTTAATAAGACTATTAAGAAGTTCTTTTAATCATGTTAGAAAAAAAAAAGTTGCTTTATTTTACAAATAAATAAAAAGATCGAGCGAACAGTTCTTGAAGATAAATAAAAAGAAAATGATGATAAGGAAGAATTTAGAATAAATTAAAAAGTAAAAATTGAAATGATAATACATGCGACATTCTCCTTGTATGCATTTCTCATTTGGGAGACAGGTACTATCCGGATCAAAATTTGTAAATGATCCATTTAATAAACAACGTCGTGATGTTACTACTGCATACCATACTGTAAATTTTTAGTATTAATTTAGTTAAATTATGGAATAAATATTATTCTTAATATTATCAAGTATTAATGATGATTAAATTTAATTAATGAATGCAAAAAAAAAAAAAAAAAACTTACATGGTTGTTCAGTAATATTACCAAATGGTGTAAATAATGGCTTTCTTCGAGCAGTACTAAATACAAATTTACAAGGTGAACCATATTGATCACAACCTGATCGAGCCTATTGATAAAATTTGAAATAGAAAATGATCTATTATGTATAATTATTATTTATGTAGAAATAAAGCTTGTAAAAGATCAATGTAATTAGTGAAACTTTAAAGAAAAAAAAGGAAAAATAAAATATAGAAATTAAATTTGTCACAATATTACGGATAATTTTATTTTGATTTTAATTTTTGATTTCAATTACTTCAAGTACTTAAGTATAATAACTTTACCTGTTAATATAGAACACTTAGTTTTCTGATTTTTTTTTTTCAGATTATATTCAAAACTCAAAGTAGTGACACCATTTTTTCTTCCTTTTTTTTTTTTTTTCAAATCTTAAACTCATCATTACATTAATGAATTCAAGAAAAGAAAAAAAAGGAAATGTTCCTATATTGTTTATAGATTTTATTTTATAAAAAAATTGAAGTTAAAAGTTAAAAATAAACGATACATTTGCATATGCTAAATTAGCAGATTTCATAGATTAGCATTGCAGGTTAAATTACCTTTTTCAGCAAAATTCTTAGTGATATAAAAGTTTGCAACATTTTTGTCAATGATTTAATTGTTATTGTAAATAGCAAAATAAAATTTATCACCTGTAATAAGATAGCAGGATTGAATTGATGGCATGTTGCACCGTTAGATGCAGCACCATTAATGCATGCACAAATTGATTGCATGCATTGCGCGCCACCAGTATTAAAACCATTACATTGTGATGATGCTTGACAAGATGTTCCCGGTATATGATCATATACCTTTACTGATGCTAAATCAAATAATAATCAATGAATGAGAATAATATCATCGTGTATCGAATCAAATATATATAATTTATTGCAATAAGTTCAATGAATATTTCATATATTGAAATCGATTTCTCATAATAATCCTCATAATATTTTATGAAATCTGGAAAGAGTTATAAATGTTCCGGAACAAGAATTAGCATCCGGAAAAAAATATTACCCGAAATGATAAATAAAAGCAGTAAAAGTTAATAGAACATATTTCAAAAAATGATGTCATATAGTATATATGGAAAGATGTATAATAGCAAAAAAAAAAAAGGAACTACCTGAGGTACAACATGTACCCATGGTACATGAAGTTTGTGGTGGACAATTATTGGTTGGCGCACATTGGCAAATTGCATTCTGATTTGATGGACATACCGGTTCCAATGATAACAAACAACATGCTCCCATTGCGGTACAACCAAATCCGGTTGGACAATCAGCACCATGATTGCATCGTTGATATGCACGAACACCATTTGGACAAAGTGGTAATGGTTCCAAGCAGCAACCTCGTCCTGGTATCATATGTAAATTAACTTACCTAATTTTATATTGTCACAGGATATAAGTTATCAAATCTTGTAAATGTATTAATGCAAATAGTGATAAAATTTACTGAAAGTGAACTAAATTATCATAGAGATTCAATGAAATTTTATTACTATGATGGAAGGAGAAGTGATTAAAGTTGACCAAAAAAAAAAAAAAATGCATAATTAACCTTCCATATATAACCAGCTGGACACCTGTTACCATAAGTACATAACTGTATAGCGAGCTGTCCATTAGAACATACTGGTAATGGACAGCATATTCCATTTTCGCATACCTAAAAATAATTATTTTCCCGCGTATTCGCAGAATTTTCCATGATTTATTGGGGCGGGGGGGGGGGAAGCGGGGAAAAACAAAAAATTCTTTAATGCATTAATGATCGAAATATTAAGAATTATAATATGATTTTAAAAAAAAGAAAAAAAAACAGTTTTACATTGATAACTATCTGTATCAGATAAAGTAATTAAACTTATACTCATCATTATTATATTAATCATCCGGAAGAAAATATACCTGCCCAATGGGACATGAATTTCCCTGACATCGTCCGGATGGTTGCGCACCGGATGGACACATTGACAACGGACAGCAACCACCATTGTTACATTCCATACCACGCGGACAAATATTTCCAGCTTCACACATTGTTGCCGATAGGATTCCGTTTGAACAAGCTGGTAATGGGCAACATACACCATTGACACATTGTTGACCAGTTGGACAGCAACAACCACCGATTGGACATCTGGATATATAGCTTAGCTTAGCTTAATGTAGCAATTATTAATATAGCAAAAATGTATTATTAATTAAGGTTGTGATAGAAAAATTATAAAAAAAAAAAAAATAAATTAAACAATTACCGTTGTGATCCGATTTGATTATTGGGACAAAGAGGAAGTGGACAACAACCACCATTAGCGCATTCAAAACCATTTCCGCATTCATCATTTGATACACAAATCCGTAGGGCGATAATACCTGAGGAACAACGTGGTGCAGGACAACATAAACCATTGGCACAGATTGATGCACTCGGACAACCTATACCAGATGGACAACGGCCTATTGCCTGAATTATCATATCAATTGGTGAAATTTTTCAATGATTGAAAAGAAGTTATTTGGATGAAATAATAGAGGTTTAAATGGAATAATTAATGATAAATTAAATGTTAGAATTTAATTTTTCCTAATTATTATTAAAAATTTTACATCAAAAAAAAAAAACAACCTGTATTCCGGTTGGACAAAATGGTATTGGACAACAACCACCACTAGAACATTCCATTCCTGGACCACATTCCTATAACAGATTCATTTATTTATTTTTTTTTTTTTTTGTTATATCTATATCTACGAATAAAATAAAAGCGATCCTTATCATAATACTGGTAATATGTTAAAACTATCAATTAAAAAAAGAAATTCAAAAAAATATGAATATGAAAAAAATTTAAAAAGCAATCAAAATAAAATAATTTTTTTTAAAAAAAAATGGAACTAAATAAAAGTTCAACAATTTAGAACCTGATCAATGGTACATCTTGAAGTAGCCGTAATACCACTTCGACAAATTGGCATACGAATTGGCTCATGCTGTTGACAACAACATCCTGATATGCAATTAGCCTGAAAAAAAAACAAAAGAAAAACACGATAAAACCAAGAAATATGATAAAAATTTACAAATAAAAAAAAATAGAAAATTAAAATAAAAAAATTTAAAAATTAAATAAAAAAAATAAAAAAAATAAAAATTAAAAATAAAAAGATAAAAAGATAAAATTAAAAATAAAAAGATAAAAATTTAAAAATTTATAATTTTCAAATGAAATTAATTTACCTGTTGTGAGCATGGTAATGTTATTGAAGTTGTTTGATCACAAAATCCTGTAGCATCTTGACCACTTGGACAAATCAAAGGACAGCATACACCACGATAGCAACCACTATTTGCTGGACATTGTTCCATAAAACCACATGCTTGAGTACCAGGAAAACCATCTTAAATTGAATATTAATATCAAAAAAATAAAAATAAAAAGAGAAAAAAAAAATCAGGATATTAGTCAAATTTTGTTAATTGTAAATTGATTTGATAAATTTTTATAAATTTTTTAATTTTTATAAAATTTACTAGGACACATAATGACGATTTGTTGTTGTTGTTGTTGTTGTTGACCTATTTGAAATAAATTTTGTTGTACTATTGGTATTATTGTTGGTAGTTGTAGCTGTTGTTGTTGTTGTTGTTGTTGTTGTTGAAAAACTGGAATGGGTAGAGGTTGTAATTGTTGTACTGTGATACTACAACAGAAACCACTGATCGTGTTACATATTGTTCCAGGTGGACAAGATTGGATTGGTGAACAAGCTGCTACAGGTGGTCCTGTATTACTCGGGCATACTCCTAAAAAATATCCTCTATCATTTTCAGTATTATAAAATAAATGAAAGATTAAATTTTTAAATTTCGAATTTTAATATTTATAATCCTTAAAATGAAAAAAAAAATTTCTTTTCTCAAAATCGATTGAACAAGAATATTTCGTTAAAAAAATAAAATGAAAAAAATTGGAACATTTTTAAAAACAATATTATTGTTCATAATTTATCTAAATATTATTGTTTCATCAACAAATATTGTCATTTAAATTTATGGTAATTCAAATTTATTATCATTTAAATTTATTATGATTCAAATTTGTTATCATTTTAATTTATTATAATTCGAATTTGTTATCATTTAAATTTGTTTCTTTTATAATAATTGTCAACAAACATTACCATTTAAATTTGTTATAATTCAAATTTATTATCATTTGAATTTTTCGTCATTTTTTTTTTTTTGTAATGAATTATCAAAAAATGTCAATATTCAGATTTTCTAATCATTGTTAACTAATTAGTTTATTTATCTAATCTAATCTAATTTGCCTAATCATGTTCCAGTTTTCATTTATTCCAAAACTATCATTAACTTATTATTAAGTTTTATTTTAAAGACTCAAAAAAAATATATATATATATATATATATCCTCTTTCTTTTTTCCATTTTTATTTTATTTCATTTTACATTAATTAGAACTTTCTGTCATATATTATGAGGAACTAAAAAAAAAAAAAAACTTATGAGATTTTCTTTTTTAATGCTTATTTTATACTTCCTTCATCTAATTTTATGCTTCCTTCATGTGACAAGTGACCTATTTTTTATGCTTCCTTCCTGTGACAAGTGACTTATTTATTACTTATGCTTCCATCTATGATTAAAATTCAATTTTATAATTTTAACAGAAACTTACTTTGCAGACAAATAAGTATAATTGTTTGAACATTGTTTTTGCAATGCTTTTTTTTTAATTGCTATAAGTTAGAATTAAGATTGGGAAAGAAAGAAAGAATTGGAAAATATTGCTATTAAAAGTGCTTTTTTTTCAATTAAATTTATTATTTTGGTTGATTTTTGATCGATTGAGATATTAGATTTAAATTTGATAAAATTATTCCAATTAGTGATTTAAGCAATTTATCTGAATCAAATAATTCAATCATATTTGTTATTTAATTTATGAATGAAATTTGGAGTATATGAAAGATCTAACAAGGTGAAAGATTATTTACTAATTGATTCTGGTAGTGGTGCTGGTACTGGTACTGATATTGGTAATGTTGGTTCATAACCAGTTCGTAAATTTGATATTGGTTGGCAGCAAACTTGATATTCCTAAAATATTTCATAAAATCAGTCAAACAATAAAAGAAATTAATTAATTAAAAAATAAAATTAAATAAAAATTAATTAAAAAATAAAATTAAATAAAATTATAAAAATAATAATAAAACTAAATCATTCTTGGTAATTTTTCAAGGGGGAAAAAAAAAACAGGTAAATTTACAAACCTCCGTACATTGTGAACCTCCAGGACAACTATTCATGAATGATTGCTGAGCACAACGACTAACCGGTATAGAACCTACTGGACAACCTGTTAAACGATTAAATGAACAAATTTGCAATCTTGTATCAAATGTTGCCCCTTCACCACATCTTTGAGATTTCCATATTCCACATGACCTATAACCTTTCCGTATTTTTCATAATTCAATAGATTTAATCAACAGAATGCTAAAAAATTTTGCATATTAAATAATTATTCAATAATTTTTAAAACTTTATTAATCCTAAAATAGGAAAAAATTTACAATTAATTCGAATATATTTTCATAACATCACATATAATAATTAGCCACTTTTTCTTTGCAAAATTTCTCTTTGACCTATTGACCTTTTAAGCCATTCTTTCTTTCTTCCGTTACAATCTCCGCATTTAATATCTACCTGGTTTGCTGTGGAATACATTGTAGAAAAGCAGCATTGTTGGTAGTATCAAGTTGTAAAGTTGATGATAACCAATCACAAGGTTTCCTTTCCATTGGTGTTAAATTTGTTACTAAATTTTATCTTTAATGTGAGAAATTTTATTAAATTAAATAAAATTATTTTTATTATTTATTTTTTAGCTAATAAATATGATAAATATCACCTATTATCTATAATGATAATTGTAGTATTTTTTCATCCAAAAATTTGATTTTGTCAAAATTAAATCTTTTTATCAATTTTCATTTTTAATTTATCCTTTTCAAATGTCAAGAATTTTTAAAAAAAATGAAATGTCAATAGCAATAACCTTGGCAAAATTTTTCACATCCTTTAGCAACCGGATTTTGTTGACAGTTCGGTTGTTGTCTACGGTAGTTATTTTTTCCGTACAACCTTGTTTAATGTAATCAAATTGATGCTCTCCTGGACAAGTTTGCTTTTTCCATATTCCAATTTTATTATCAACCAAATGATAATTTTCAATCTACAATACTCATAAATGTTAAATAATGCATTTATTATTATTACTATTATTTACTATTATTATTATTATTATTATTATTATTATTATTATTATTATTATTATTATTATTATTATTATTATTATTATTATTATTATTATTATTATTATTATTATTATTATTATTATTATTATTATTATTATTATTATTATTATTATTATTATTATTATTATTATTATTATTATTATTATTATTATTATTATTATTATTATTATTATTATTATTATTTTATTATTATTATTATTATTATTATTATTATTATTATTA